GGACGCGATCGGGAGATGGCGGCGCGTCCGTGCGGGAGGAGGAGGCCGTCCCGGCTGTTTGGGAGCGCGGACGGCACCTCAACCCGGCCGGGCGGTGCAGCTCTCTTGTGCTTTACCCTTTGAAGAAGTGAGCGCTTTGCCTTTCATTAAGGGTGCCTAATTAACGTGCTGCCTGCGCGCCAGTTCGTGTGGGGTTAGTGGGGCGGTAGCCGGCGGTGCCGGTGCCGCAGGAGGCGCTCCCGGAGCCTCGGGCCTGGGCAAGGGGGATGTTTGCCAGCATGGAGTCACCGCTCCCGGGATCTCAGGGCTGGTCTTTCTCCCCGGACAGGACACCGGGCTCCGGCAGCGCTCGCAGAGATCAAACCTCAGCTGCGCCCCCCGCCGGCCTGCCGCGCTGCATGGGGCCACCGCACAGGTAGCCAGGCTGGTTAGGCCGTTCTGCGGGGAAAATCTCGGATTCCTGATGGCACGTGCAAGGTTTGGTGAGCGCGTCTGCTCCGGGCGCTCTCGGGAAGCAGAAGGAAGGAAGCAGCAAAACCCCAAGTCCCATGGGCACGGGGAGCTGCGCGGAGCCGCCCGGGTTGAGCGCCGCGCGCGGCGGCAGGAGGTCCCGGCGCTCCCGTGCGGAGCCGAGAGGCCGCTCGGGCGCATCCGTCTCATCCCGGGCGCTTCCGCAGGAGGGGAGCGCTCCGCCAGGGCTCAGGGTAGGAACGGCCTCATTTTGGTGAGGAAACGGCGGTTTTGAATGAAATCGTCAACCCAGTCATAATTATGGGGGCTTTACCGCAGCATTAGCATAGGCACTGGGCTGCGTTGTTTTCATTGAAAGCTTGACGAAAATGGAAACCACGAGAGGAAGGCACGGGCGGTTTGCGCGTTGCCCCAACGAGCAGCCCTTTAATCACGCGCCGTTGTCGTGCGCGTTGTCGTGCAGGGCACACGCGGGCACGCGGAGCGCTCGCTGGGCGCTTGGCAGGCGGCCGCAAGCCGAGGACTGGGGTTTTCGGTAGCATTTGCCAGCTGAAAATGGATTTTGTGGAGATCCGTGCAAAAATACCCCATGGCAACGTGCCCATTCCTCGCTCGAAGCGCGTGCGGTGCTGTGGGGTAGGAGGCTGCTCCGGGCTGCCCTTTCCCTGCACAGATGAGATTTGGGGCAAACGAGCTGCGTTGGAATATTTAGTGCTTGGTGCTGCAATACAGCAGCCACGGGAGCTGCTTTGCTGAAGTTTCACTGTGCACTAATGAGTCGGGTGGTAGGATGCAGCGTTGTTCTGTGCAAACAACTCCACAAATGCATCATCCTCCTCTTCCTCCTCACCTTTTGGCACGTGCCCATTTTTCAAGGTAGTAGCACAATCTGTTGGCTGCATTTTTATTTTATTTTATTTTTATTTTCAGGGCACTAATGTATTGCCACTTGCATTTTGGTGCTTCCTAAGTGCTGGTAGATTAATGGGTGTTTTGTGGATGACCAGAACCCTTTTAATAAGCGCCTTGCTTTGATTATAGCTGGCTCAGTCCTCTGGTTTCTCTTACACTCCAGCCGGGGTTGCTGTTCCCTGCAGACCAGCTCGGGGAGAGCTGCCCCGTCCGCTCCGCAGCGGAGGTGAATCCAAAGCGTTAGAGCTTGGCTGTCAGTTAGGAGCCTAAATAGGCTCTTGTTCTTGCAAATTCAGGGCTTGCGTTTTGGGGGCTTCATCAAGGGATCATCATGCCCTGCTGCAGCCCTTCGGATGCTCTTGTTCCTGCGTCAGCTTCCAGAGTGAAGGTGCTTATTTAGGAACGTCTGCCCTCTGCGCTAATCAGCCCTTCTGCTTTAATTTCACACTGTGTCATTATCAGGAAGCTAATTTGGGCAGAAGCGAGTCCTTCAGCCCTCAAGGACGGCGAGGGGGGAGCTGCTCTGCTGTTTCCATCCCTGGTTTTTCCCTGGCTGCATCCACGAAGGCCCTGGGACAAACGCAGCACTTGCTGCCCGGGCCGAGGCTGCTCCCGCGGGGCCGGCGCGGCCGGAACCTGCTCCCGTTTCCCGTTCCGTGGAGCGCGGCTCCTCTGGGAACCGCAGCGGCTGTTCCGGGGAGTCTGATCCAGTCGGAGCAATGGGGCAGCCGCGGCACCGTCCGTGGGGGTGACGTGGGGCTGCTGCGCAGGCGGCTTCCAGGCCGCTGGAAAGCGCCTCGACTGTGCAGCGGGAGCTCATCTATCCCGGGTGAAATCCGGGGTGAAAAGCCACCGGTTTCACTTGCAGCTGCAGTGTTTAAATGTCCCAAACGTGGTCATGGACTTTGCTGTTTAAATTGTGTTTACAGCTGCCTTAGCTCGCCTTTTCCCCCCTTCCTCCCCAGGATAAGTCGTGGCTTCCTGCCCCGTCGCCCTCCTCTTCCATCATCCCCCGTGCTGCTCCCCAGCCATCCCGGGCTGGACCACGAGGATCCTCCCGCAGGCAGGCGCGGCGGGGCGGCGGGGGACGGATGCGCCCGGGAGGGCTCTCCAACCCGTGTCCCTTCACTGCAAGGGAATGTCCCGATTTCTGGAGGAGCCGGCCCCTCCGCCGCTCTGCACAGAGCAAACTGGGTCGGGAGAGGCGGCTTGGAGGATGTTGAGATGAGCCCGTTTGTAGCGATCGTGATAACGAAGGACAGCGAGGCCTGGACCTATGAGCGCGTCAGGAAGGCTCCTGAGCGAGGGAAGGGCCTGTGCGTCGTCCGTCCTCCCGCCCGCACCGCGCGCTGCGGTGAGGGGGTCTCTCTCCCCTCCTACCTCGTCTTAGCGGTTATAGCCGTGCTTTTGGCAGAGCTGATCTGTTTTAGGGGGGTTTTGCCCACATGCAGAAACCGCCCAGCAGGATTTCCCTCGCGATCCGTGAGCTGGGCTGTGCACCCGTGCTCTGAGCTGCCCTTTGGGAGCCGCGCTGTTCTGCTTGCTGCAACACAATGTTGATGCTGTTGACCGTGCTCTGCGTCTCCCGGCTGCTGGATAAATGGAGCCGTTCCAGCCCTTTCCCAGGGCCCTCCCGGGCAACAACCCCCAGCGTTAGGGGGTTCTCAGCCTCGCAAGGCTCCGCACAGCTGTGTTCCCGGCGCTTGGCCCCGGGAGCGGCGCCGGTTCCTGGCTGTGTCCGCCGCGGCCGCCCTGGCCTCGCTGCCCGGAGGTGTCGCCGCGTCCCGCCGGGCCAGGCAGGGCCCTTCCGGGGCCGGTCACCCGTTTTGTCCCTCTCCCCGGGCGCTGCTCCAGCCTCTCCATGGCATTAGCCCTCCGCTCCGGCCGTGGAGCCGCTCGGCCTCTCCCGGCCTCGCTCTGCCCCGCTGCAACCTGCAGCGCACGTTGTGCTGATCGGGCCTGCGGGTTCCTCGGCACCAAAGGGCTCTCTCTAGAACACTGAAATGGTTTCTTTTTTGTGCTCCATCACTGTATGGGAATGAAGGCAACTCCTGATCTCCCCAAACTTAGTTCCTCATGCGTCTCGTTTCAGAACTTTTTCCGAATATAATCTGGGTTTTGTTATTAAAATCCTAATTCCTCCTTTCTGTCCTCTTTCCTCCACGCGTTCCCCCACTGTCTTGATCTCATGTGACTTCAGATTTATTTCCCGTGCACGTGCTCTTCTGTCTTTGCTAAATAAGCATTTGTTGTTCCCTTTTGCAGCAGACACATGTGCGCTTGAAGAGACAGACCTGGGATTTTTCCTTGGGAACAAATGTTAGATGCTTTGGATTAATTACACCTTGACTTCTGCTTAATGTTTCCTTCCAACACGGAGTGTGTTTAGAAGCTGCTAAAATCTTCAAAGCGTTCAGAGGGTGAAGGAAAGACGGTGCATGTGCTTTTCCTAGCCTTTGCTGGGGTGAAATGGCAACAAACTCATTTTACTTGGCAACCTGTCACTTCTCGGGGCAGATTCTTGATGGAAAATCCTGTGATTCCCCAGAGGGCTGCAGATGTCACATCACTTTTTAGCCCCTGGGGGCAGATTTTCTGCTCTGAGTTGCCCTAGTTCTGCATAGGCTGACCAGAGCTGCTGGGGAAATGAAACCTGACGTTTTAGTTTGTGTGTTGATCCTGTTTCCTGTCTTTGTAGGAATTGCTCCACAAGCTAGTGTGCAAGAGGAATGGAAGATAACGTTGGTAAGTACACGCTTAGCTACCGAACCGCAGGCTGGGGAGCTGTCCTTTCCTCTTTGGTTATTTGCCATAAAGAGCCTTATTGCTTTGAACTTTGCATCTTCACATGGAGGAGATGGTTAGAAAACAAGAGAGCTTGGCAGATGCACCAGCTGCTGCTCAGCTGTGGAAATGGCGTGGAGCAGAGCTGGTCAAAATGGTACTGCAGGTCTGAAAGAGCTTCCTTTTTTTTTTTTTTTAAAGTTCCCATCTCCGAACCTGAAACACAAGTCTCCTGAGTATCCCAAGCTGTTGAAAACAAGGCAATATCCCTTTTTTAATAGGTAGCAGGCTAGAGGCACCGAGTTGTAAGCAATTTGAACAAGCCGTGCTGCAAGCCAGAAAGGAGGATTAGCTCCAGACGTCGCTTCCTGTGGTTGTTTCCCTAGGCTGTTCTGTCTTGCAAAAGATCTAGGATTTTTTTTAATTAAACAAAACTGGACTTTAACGCTGTTGCTGCAGGCACTATGTACTGCAGCTGTGAGGCGAGCAAACCGGTCATCGGGTTAAACTGAAGCTGGTTTTAGTTGCAGCTGAAACTGGTAGGTTTTGGCACAGGGTAAATGCTCGAGTGACTTCTCCTCCTGTTTTTCTAAAACGGCTATGGAAGATGCTGGTTGAGTGGCCATTTTTCCTCCTGTTGGAATGGGATTTGCATGAAGGCTCTTGCCTGCACTGCGGGAAGCAGGTCTCCCTTAAAGACATCAACCTCCCGTCTCGTGGACCATGGTGGCACCTCGTGCAGTTGCTGCTGGCAAACATAAGGAGTGTTGAATCATCCCAGCTGAACCCATAGCAAATCTGCAGCTGGCGCGGGATGTAGGAAAGCTCCCTCTCCATAATCCCCATCATTAAATTATCATGGAGGGGGCAGCTGTGCGATTGGCGACTCTGGACTCATGGTGAAGTGCATTTCTATGGCCACAGATGTTGTTTCTGGACTAGCTTCACCCCTGAGGCTCTCCGTGCTTCTCGGCAGCGGCTGCTCCAGCAGGGCCTCTCTTGGGAATTGCGCGTTGCCTCCGGAAGGCCGCTCTGCAGGACGCCGGAGCAGCTGGAAGGCAGGCGCGCTTGCAAAGCACTCGTCGTGCCGACGCTCCGGGGACCAGCACCGCTCTCCGCGGGCC